TGAAAAATTTGAAATTTGAAAAGTCACCTTACTTTTTGAACACACCTCGTATAACTTCTAAAAGGTTTCGATAATCGAAAAATTTGAAATTCGCGAAATTTGAAGAGTCACCTTACTTTTTGAACACACCTCGTATAACATAAAGGTATAGTACCACCTCCAAAAGTGACTTTGGATATAAATACAGTGGATTCCACTGCCAATGTCATAAACAAAGTAGAATCCAATAATATTGATTTATATTGAGTACATGTACTTTTAATAATCATTGTTGTCATAATGTGCGCAAATTTCTTTTATAAAATATATAAGCTGCACAAAGATGTTTAAAGAAAAGATATATGAGCCGGGCTAATGACCTGGATAAAATCTAAGCAACATTGCTTAAACATACAATATATATGTAATAAATAAAAAAAAATAAAAATAATTTTATACAGATATAATTTTTAAAAAAATGGCTAAACTAACTACAATGACCATGATATAATGGATTGAAAGAAATAAACAATATCAAAGCAAATTTTGACCAGTCTAGAAGAACACAGTCAGAAAACATGTTGAAATATTAAAAGAGAACTTTAACGAAGCGCGAATACTAATACATGGTCACGGGGAGAGATTGAATCAAGATCAATTGTCTCAGGTATCTAAACTTCTGATACGACTACGATCTAATTTAATATCGGTTAAACAAAAATTCAGTTTAGAAATAGTAATACCGAATGTTCTAAACACTCCCATAGCAGTAGATACTGCACCTGACCCAGAATCAGCTGAAACAAACGAATTAAAATATAAGAGGTACCCCCAAAATACCCCAAAATAGAAGAGGAAGATTTAAATAATTTTACTATTCCAGCGGTATATACTTATAGAGATAGTTACACAGATTCTGATACTCCTAGCGAGACAAGCAACCTTACCACAATGGCGCAATCCAATATTGATTTCATAAATACAGCATCCAAGCTGATACCAGTTTTTGATGGTAAAGCGGAACATCTTACAAATTTTGTGGATGCGTTAGAAATAGTAGAGTCAATAAAGGGGGAGCACGAACAACTCGCTGTCTCCATAATAAAAACAAAACTAAAGGGTGCCGCTAGAAATCTAATAGGAAACGAAACAACGATTTCCGAGGTGATTTCTAGACTAAAAGGCAACGTCAAGGGTGAAACTGTAGAAGTATTGTCAGCAAAACTGATGAACCTACAGCAACGCAACAATACTACAAACCAATACACACAAGAGGTTGAGCAGATGGCGAAAGCCTTAGAAGGAGCATACATATCAGACGGACTATCACTAGAATTGGCCAGAAATTATTCCACTCGGCATGCCGGCAAGGCAATGACTAAGAACTGCGCAATTGATAAACTTATCATGCAGGCTGGCACCTTCAACACAATGAATGATGCTATATCCAAGTTCGTCAACAGTTGCACGGAAGCAACTGGACAACCTAATACTGTCCTTTATTTCAAAAATTATTCACAGCGTGGGGGAAACAGTGGACGTGTAAACTTCAGAGGAAACTATAGTAGTCGTAATAATAATTACAACAACTACAACAGTTCCAACTATAACAGTAATAGACGAGGCCGATATAGAGGAAACTCAAGAGGCCGTGGCAACTAGAATGGAGGCCACAGTAACCGTAACACAAATAATTCTGTGAGAATTCCCCAGAATAATTCGGGAAACTCTCACCCTTCAGATACTCATCAGTAAACCACAATTTTCACACCATCAATCTTAGTTTTAATATCTTTCAACCATCTTTCAACTTTTTGCATTCGTGTAAAATCGGTAGATAGTGAGCATTTAACACATAATTTAACAGAACATTTTTTATATTTGGGTGTTAAATTTAATTTCGTCGTGGACCCAAATTGTGTTTTAATTCCTCAACATCTCGTAATGAGCACCAATTTAGGGTTCAATTTCAAGACAGAAAAATAATTGATTTATTTTGTTTTCGTTTCTTTTTTTTCTGTAACCTGTTGCCAAAAAAATTTCCTAAATTTGCCGCGCGTCCGCCATTTTCCAAGCCTCAACGCTATTTTCTTGGGACTTCCATCCCGCTTATAAATTAGTTATTTTTATTGTAGAGGTTCCCTTGCTGCTGTCTCCGTGCAGAAGTCCGGTTTGTTATTTCCCTCTAAGTATTTAAGTTTACAGTGGAGGTTCCCTCGCCGCTGTCTCGGTATAGAAGTCCGGTTAGTAATTTCTCTCTAATGGTGAATTACGGAGTTTAGGATGGAAGGGTGACTGCCCTTCTTAACCTGCTGGCCTAGAGACTCAGTCAGTTTGTAAATGATAAAATGTTAACGGCAGTTGCCGGAGTTATATTGAATGAGCTTGTGCTTTTTATTCGGTGAATATCAAAATTGAACTGAACTTAAAGCTAACATAAAAAGAGACTCATAGCGGCCACTCCAATGGGTAGTGCTTGCCGGCTGTGCACGGGCTTCCGGCCAGACGCTGTGTCAGCAATTTGGCCGGAGTGAACTTTCGGACGATCGGTCATTGCCGTCGCCCGGTTAACTTAGTTAACTTATTTATTCGTTGTCTTTTATTTATCGGCCAGTGCATCCTTTTCCGCTAAGTGTCGTTACATATATTATAAAGGAGAGAGCCACCGGCCGAATACCACACATACACACTCTCGCACTGATATCGCTGCCAGTTCTTTCGACTCTCTCTCTTTGCATTTTCGTTTCTGTCGTTGGACAAGTACAAGCGTTGTTGTTGTTTTTCGCAGCGTTTTCGGTTTTCTGGCTAAGCTTGTGATATCCTTTAAATTTTATGCGTGCGGCGTATTAGTGCCGAAGAAATTAACAAATAAAATATTAATTTTATTTTGTTTTTTCGAAATTTTACTGGTCCCTTTCTTGCATACGTTCGGAATATACCACTCGTTTATTTTTTATTTTTTATATTATTCGTTACCTCTTTCGAATTAAAATAAATTTTTTTAAACTCTTCGATTCTTAAACAATTTTAATAAGCAATAACATGGCGAGCAAAGATAATGAAGAGCTTAGACAATAAGAATAAGAGAGTAAACGAGATGGAATAATGCGGAGTATATCCCGAACACAGCAGTGTTTACAAGAGGGTCGACTATCTCTAAATCTTGTCGAATTAGAATGTCGATTAGAAATTTTAAATTCGCACATTGAAAATTCTTCTTTGATTCAGAATCAAATCGAAGCAAAAGACGCAGAGTTAGGCGGATGAGCGCCGATGATGCTGCTCCGCCGGTGAAGCGCACTTCCCAATGCCGTTTGCCGAGCGTTGCTCTTCCAACCATCAGCGGAAGCACTCCGAATTTAAAAATATTATAATCCTTTTCGAAACATTTGTCGACAAACTCTGCACAATATTGAAAAATTTAATCATTTGATATCGTGTCTGGCTGGCGACGCTTTAGGCACAGTCAGGGCGTTCCAAGTCACTGCGGCTAATTACCCCACAGCCCTGGCTAGCCTGAAGCAAGTGTACGATAATGATTGTCTGATTTTCTTCGACAATATATCGACACTTTTCAATCTGCCAAAAATGTCCCAGCCATCAGCTACAGCCTTGAGAAACCTGATCGACACAGTCAGAGCTCTTTATAACAAATGCCATCCTCATCCATTTAAAAATGAGCAAAGTCGATGCAGGAACAAAGAGAAAGTGGGAAGAACAGAACAGCAAATCTTCTCACCACACATTGTTGCAAAGATACTCTGCTAATACAAAAAATGACTCTGGTTCACAAGTAAATTTTGTGACCGATGAGCTCGTTCAGAGACGACAAATTAAAAGAGGTTCGTGGGTATGAGTTTGCGGGGCATTGGTGAAACTATTGCTCAAGCAACAACAAAAAATACACGCAATAGTGAAGTCGTGAATAGGAAGCAGTCAGTTGTCGTCTGATTTTTATGTTTTAAGAAATATTTCTGGTAATCATCCGGATCAAGCGGTGAACACCAGCGGGTGGAGGGTACCTGAAAATACTCTATTGGCAGATCCATTCTTCTTCAAGCCCCAAAAAATTGACATGCTTATCGGCGTAGATTTGTTCTGTGAAATTCTGTCAGTTGGCCATATAAAGCAGGGGCCTGAACTTCCCATTTTACAAAAAACTGTTCCGGGCTGAATAGTGTCATGGAGATGTGCCTCGGAAAACAAAATAAAGACAGAAAATTCGGTACATCTCAGCTGTCAGGAAAAAGCCCTAGAGTCAATAGACACCACCCTGCAGAAATTTTGGTCTGTGGAGGACTTGCCGCCTAAGGCTTAAGTCCATAACTCAAATCTGACCCAATAACTCTTGGTTCGTCGTATGAAGTTGCGAAACGTCGATTTTTGTCGCTTGAAAGGAGATTGTCAAAAGATCCTTCGTTAAAGAATATGTATCTGGATTTCATGGAAGAATATGTATCACTGGGCCACATATCCTCTCCAATGATAAAATTCCAGATGGCCCACACTATTTCACTCCGCACCAATGCGTGCAGCGGCCACAAAGCACTTCATCCAAGTTGAGAGTGGTATTCGATGCCTCAAGCCGCACATCGACACAGGTTGTGTTGAATAACATTCTGATGGTAGGCCCCACGATTCGAGAGGAGCTATATTCTACGCTGATGGTCGAGGAAGCTGACCGAAATTTCCAGCTCATAGTGTGGAGGCGAGATCCTTCTGGGTCTCTGAAGATCTTCAAGTTGAATACCGTAACATATGAAACTTCGTTGAGAACCTGCAAAGTCTTCGTGATGAAGTTTCTCTGGTTTTGCAAGAGGCAGGTTTTGAATTGGCAAAGTGAATTTCAAACCGCCCAGAGATCTCCGCATCTCTGCAGACGTAACCAAAACCTTTGGAGTGGTCTGGTTACCTAGAAAAGATTAAGTTTAATTTCGGTTGGATGACTCTTTCCTGGATCTTCGTGCGACAAAAAGTAAGCCTTTGGGAAGCCTTTAAGGCAATTTTTCTTCAACTGCCCAATGTTATGGTACCGCGATTCGTTCACACAGATCCGCAGGTTCCGATTGAGATACACGGTTTCGCTGACACTTCCATGCGAGCACATGGAGCGTGCATCTACGTTGGCACTCAACCTGCTGAAGGTTTAAAAGTGTCATTACTGACAGCCAAATCAAAAGTGGCTCTCCTAAAGACGAAAACTTGGCCTCGCCTTGAGCTGTGTGTAGCACACCTTTTAGCAGATCTTCGGCCGTTTTCGTCTCAAACCGAGTAGCGGAAATCCAAGAGTGGTCGGAGAAAGCTATTTGGCGACACGTCCATACGAAAGTGATCCCAGCGGATATAGTGCCTCGAGGATCCGACATTGAAGAGCACATCCATCTAGTTCGCTCGGCTATCTTTTTTACTCGACTCAGAAAGCAATTGGCCTATAAACTCTCACTTCGAACCAGCTTCAGAAGTTGTGTCTATGGACTTACACAAGTCGGCGTTAACTCTGATCGCTACAACAGAGCCTAATGGTGTGCTTCAGAAAATAGAGTCCTTTTCTTCGCACCTGAAGTGTTGGTTTTTCGATTCATTCGACCCGTTTAGAGTAAGCGAAAACACGATCCTCAAATTCTCACACAAAAATACCGACCTCTAGCGGCGCTAAATTTAAACTTTACTAACTACGATATCCCTAATCCGTTCCGCTACAATAGGAAATTGATTTATTAATAATTTGTTGCAGACGTTTAAGATGAATGTTATTTCAAGATTCCACTCACATTATTTATGTTATTTACCTTTCCTCAAATGTCCTAGTAGATTAACTTCCGCCTTTGGTCCGTCCCTGTTGTCCTTTCCGAAGTTTTAATATTGTATTGTTTTTGAATTGTTTGTTTGGTACAGTGTTTAACGATTTTATCTTATGCAAGCAACACGTTTTTATTTGGTTTTTACTTGTATTGGATTCGTCAAAAATTGCTTTCTTTTTATAGTGGGAAAGAACCATTAATTGATCGCTTATTAATATATTTAATTATTTATGGATTGATATCGTGAAAAAACTTTCAGTCGTCTGTTCGCATGTTAACATGCTCCAATGCTGGGTCAGCAAAGATCCCGTTGCAGACTTATTGTCCGGTTAACTTAGCAAACTTATATTATTGTTAAATACAATTTCCTTAAAGCTTCAGTTGTCTCTGTGACAAATATGTAGGGCCTGACTTCTTGCAAAGAACAACCAGTAACGCGTTGGTCGAGTCCCGCAACTATAAGATACCCGTAAACTGTCTTATCTAAATTCAAAATTACCAGCGAAATTGTCAAAGCGCCACCTCTTATATAAGTATGTTTAATAACTGATGTTTCCTCCCTGAACATGTAAAACTTTAAACCCTACATAATAAAATTCAGATTTAAAACACTTTTGGTACATTATTAGATATCGAATAAAAATGTTTTACAAGGTCAAAATAAAAATAAATTTTAATATTATGAACGTCACAGTTTTCCGCGTATAGCGCGATAAGGTGGCTAGAATAGCTATGCTTGATCCTCACCTTCTTATAGCAATTATATGTGGTGTGGGAGGTAATCCTCACGCGGCCCCGCCGCCCCTAGAAATAGAGACATTCAGTTAAGGGTAGTCCTTAAGCCAGAATTTAGGTTAATTTAAGGAATAGTTAAGGCCCACGAAGGGCACTCAGATTTAAGTTAGTTTAGACCCACGGAGGGCAATTAGACTTACGTGCACTTGTACATACATAGCTAAGGCTTAGCGAAAGCCCGTTAGCCTTCGCCGCCGGACAACATCGCACCCGCAACATCACGCCCGCAACAATCGCTCCGCAACACCACGCCCGCCCGCAACATCACCACGCCTTGGGCACATCGCGCTCACAGCGCAATCACAACCGGCAGAGCCAACATTACACCGGCAGAGCCAACATCACATCGACAGAGCCAAAAAACGCGCACGATCACACCACGTGTCGACGACGCAGTAAAGCTAGAGAGAAGAGAACGACGACAGTTCGCACGAAGACAGCGAAAGGGCCGCTGCCGCGGTCGGCAGCAGAGAAGGGCCTCGAGCAGCTCCCGCCGCCCGCCGATCGGAGAGTCGGTTTTGTGAGTTGAACGAGAGAAATCGTAATCCCGGAGAGGAGGAGCAGTTAGACACGAGCACGTGAACGCGAGGAAGAAAATAAACACAGAACAAAAAGGGAGAGAGAGAGCCGCAGAACTTAAGCCACGTAGTCGCCGCAGCCGGCATCCACGCCATCAGATATCTAGTTCCCCTATCCCTTTCGCACAACTCGTTTCTTACCGAGGAGGATGCCCGACGCCGGCAGAACCAGAGATATATAAGTCGCCATCGACACATAATCGGGATCAGTCAACCAACGGAGTCCCGAGGGACGACATCGACCACCAACCGCAAGCAACAAGGGCCCTCCTGCACACTAGCCAGGACTAGCAGGGATACACATCCTTCAAGGAAACCAACGCATCGCCGCTCCTGATTCCTGGCCAGGACTAGCAGGGATACACCTCCTTCAAGGAAACCATCGCATCGCCGCTCCTGCACCATAGCCAGGACTATCAAGGATACACATCCTTCAAGGAAAACCAACGCATCGCCGCTCCTGCACCCTAACCAGGACTATCATCCTTCAAGGACAAACCAACGCATCGCCGCTCCTGCACCCCTAGCCAGGACTAGCAGGGATACACATCCTTCAAGGAAACCAACGCATCGCCGCTCCTGCACCATAGCCAGAACTATCAAGGATACACATCCTTCAAGGAAAACCAACGCATCGCCGCTCCAGCACCCTAACCAGGACTATCATTCTTCAAGGAAAAACCAACGCATCGCCGCTCCTGCACCCTAGCCAGGACTATCAAGGATACACATCCTTCAAGGAAACCAACACATCGCCGCTCCTGCACCCTAGCCAGGACTAGCAGGGATACACATCCTTCAAGGAAACCAACGCATCGCCGCTCCTACACCCTAGCCAGGACTATCAAGGATACACATCCTTCAGGGAACCAACGCATCGCCGCCCCTGCACTCCAGCCAGGACTATCAAGGATACTCATCCTTCAAGGAAACCAACGCATCGCCGCTCGTGCACACCAGCCGGGACACACAACAACTATATGGGTGTCTCCTGGGTTTCTTACAGGAAAAAGCACGAACTCGAGGCTATTCTTCTCGAGCTCGGCCTCGAACAAAACGGTACGGTCGACAAGCAGCGGGCCCGACTGTACGCGTTCGCCAGGCAAACGGAACACTCCGAAGATACCCTGATCCGGCTCGGGGAGATGGAACGCAAGTATGGAAACGCCCCATCCGGAGACACCAAGCCACCTTCGCCGCTACCGCCCTCCCACGAAAAGGGACTAAGCAGTAGCCACACGCTGACCATACCACGCAGCACTTCCCCGTCCCCAGAGACGCGAGGAAAATCAGAGGGCACAGTACGCACCGGTGCGCACCAGTACGATGCCGGCATCTGTTCGATGTTGATTGACAAAGTGTCCAAATGGGGACTGTCACTCGACGGCACCTCGGACCCCCTCAGTTTCATAGAGCACATCGAAGAACGGGCGGATACCCACCGGATTGACCGTGAGTATCTGTCGCACGCTATCATCGTCCTCCTGACTGGCCAGGCGGAGAATTGGTTCCGAACCAGTGATCTGCGTCGGCCGCCGCACAGGCGCATCCATCGGTCACCTCACAGACTCATCCTCCAGCCGCCGCACAGGCGCATCCATCACCCGCCTCACAGGCGCATCCATCGGTCACCTCACAGACGCAACCACCAGCCGCAGCACAGGCGCATCCATCACCCGCCTTACAGGCGCATCCATCGGTCACCTCACAGACGCATCCACAAGCCGCCTCACAGGCGCATCCACAAGCCGCCTCACAGGCGCATCCACCAGCCGCCCCAAGGGCGCATCTACAAGCCACCGCACAGGCGCATCCACCAGCCGCCTCACAGGCGCACCCGCAAACCGCCTCCCAAGCGCATCCACAAGCCACCGCACAGGCGCATCCACAAGCCGCCTCACAGGCGCACCCATCGGTCACCTCACAGACGCATCCATCACCCGCCTCACAGGCGCATCCATCGGTCACCTCACCATCCACAAGGCGCCTCAGAGGCGCATCCACAAGCCCATCTTTCACCTCACAGACGCATCCACCAGCCGCCGCACAGACGCATCCATCACCCGCCGCACAGACGCACCCATCACCCGCCTCTCAGGCGCACCCACCGGTCACCTCACAGACGCATCCACAAGCCGCATCATAGGCGCATCCACAAGCCGCCTCACAGGCGCACCCATCGGTCACTTCACAGACGCATCCACCAACCGCCGCACAGGCGCAACCATCACCCTCCTCATCCATCGGTCACCTCTGTAGTATGCACTAATATTGAATACCCACTGTACCGAGTTCTTAAAGGGTAGGCACTGTAACACTTTGTTGCAGTGTTTACATAATTCATGGTCCCGGTCATACACCCCAAGTGGCCGAAATATGAGCCGATTGCTATGGCTTAGGCCACTCGCAGAAAGTGCTAGCGTCGGCATAATTGCATGAACCGACCGCATGTGCATACCCCTCGCGCTCCTCACATAAGAGGGCATATGTTTATATACATAAGTACATAGATAGCCGTCTCTCTGTCGCCGCCTGCGAGCAGCGCAGCAACGAGACTTAGCCTTAATTAGACTTAAAAGAATATTGTAAAGACACAATCAATTCAAGCGGCAATTGGAGTGGCAATTGGAGCGGCACCTCTCCTGCTCCCTGAAATAAAGAATAAACCAAGTACAACAAGTTTGTTTTACATATTTCATGGCGATCCTGCCATTTAAACATTTCATGGCGACCGTGACAAGGGCCACTGAGCAGTGTGCACTGTAAATACACATGCACAGGGAAAAACAACTAGTGTGAGAGGCCATCCGCCCCTTACACCTCTGTGGGAGAAGCTGCCTGTGCGAAGCCAGCACCGGCACCGCCGGAGCCCATAGGCCCAGGACAACAGCAGCAGATACAAAGCTTGGGAGGCACGACCGCCAGCTGCGTCTTCAAGGGAGCGTCAGCATAGCAAAGCCGGCGACGACCAGATGACGCGGACCGGAAAGAGCATCAGAAGAAACATCGCAGCAGAGGACGCAGGATTAACCCATGCACTGCGTTGCATATTTTTTTTTGATTGCACTGCGATGCATATTTTTTTTTATATAACATAATATAAATTGTAAAATTGAGCGGAACCATCTCTGCCCAATTAGTCGTGCAGCCCGTAAGGCTATGCAAAACAGTAGGTAGAAACCTGTAAAGATAGATAAAAGATAATGCAATAATTAAATACTCAATAGAAAACAACAATAATTATATTCCAAATTATAACATAAAGGTATAGTACCACCTCCAAAAGTGACTTTGGATATAAATACAGTGGATTCCACTGCCAATGTCATAAACAAAGTAGAATCCAATAATATTGATTTATATTGAGTACATGTACTTTTAATAATCATTGTTGTCATAATGTGCGCAAATTTCTTTTATAAAATATATAAGCTGCACAATAGATGTTTAAAGAAAAGATATATGAGCCGGGCTAATGACCTGGATAAAATCTAAGCAACATTGCTTAAACATTCAATATATATGTAATAAATAAAAAAAAATAAAAATAATTTTATACAGATATAATTTTTAAAAAAATGGCTAAACTAACTACAATGACCATGATATAATGGATTGAAAGAAATAAACAATATCAAAGCAAATTTTGACCAGTCTAGAAGAACACAGTCAGAAAACATGTTGAAATATTAAAAGAGAACTTTAACGAAGCGCGAATACTAATACATGGTCACGGGGAGAGATTGAATCAAGATCAATTGTCTCAGGTATCTAAACTTCTGATACGACTACGATCTAATTTAATATCGGTTAAACAAAAATTCAGTTTAGAAATAGTAATACCGAATGTTCTAAACACTCCCATAGCAGTAGATACTGCACCTGACCCAGAATCAGCTGAAACAAACGAATTAAAATATAAGAGGTATACCCCAAAATAGAAGAGGAAGATTTAAATAATTTTACTATTCCAGCGGTATATACTTATAGAGATAGTTACACAGATTCTGATACTCCTAGCGAGACAAGCAACCTTACCACAATGGCGCAATCCAATATTGATTTCATAAATACAGCATCCAAGCTGATACCAGTTTTTGATGGAAGCAACTGGACAACCTAATACTGTCCTTTATTTCAAAAATTATTCACAGCGTGGGGGAAACAGTGGACGTGTAAACTTCAGAGGAAACTATAGTAGTCGTAATAATAATTACAACAACTACAACAGTTCCAACTATAACAGTAATAGACGAGGCCGATATAGAGGAAACTCAAGAGGCCGTGGCAACTAGAATGGAGGCCACAGTAACCGTAACACAAATAATTCTGTGAGAATTCCCCAGAATAATTCGGGAAACTCTCACCCTTCAGATACTCATCAGTAAACCACAATTTTCACACCATCAATCTTAGTTTTAATATCTTTCAACCATCTTTCAACTTTTTGCATTCGTGTAAAAAATCGGTAGATAGTGAGCATTTAACACATAATTTAACAGAAATAAAATTTCGCATGGTCTAACAACATTTTTTATATTTGGGTGTTAAATTTAATTTCGTCGTGGACCCAAATTGTGTTTTAATTCCTCAACATCTCGTAATGAGCACCAATTTAGGGTTCAATTTCAAGACAGAAAAATAATTGATTTATTTTGTTTTCGTTTCTTTTTTTTTCTGTAACCTGTTGCCAAAAAAATTTCCTAAATTTGCCGCGCGTCCGCCATTTTCCAAGCCTCAACGCTATTTTCTTGGGACTTCCATCCCGCTTATAAATTAGTTATTTTTATTGTAGAGGTTCCCTCGCTGCTGTCTCCGTGCAGAAGTCCGGTTTGTTATTTCCCTCTAAGTATTTAAGTTTACAGTGGAGGTTCCCTCGCCGCTGTCTCGGTATAGAAGTCCGGTTAGTAATTTCTCTCTAATGGTGAATTACGGAGTTTAGGATGGAAGGGTGACTGCCCTTCTTAACCTGCTGGCCTAGAGACTCAGTCAGTTTGTAAATGATAAAATGTTAACGGCAGTTGCCGGAGTTATATTGAATGAGCTTGTGCTTTTTATTCGGTGAATATCAAAATTGAACTGAACTTAAAGCTAACATAAAAAGAGACTCATAGCGGCCACTCCAATGGGTAGTGCTTGCCGGCTGTGCACGGGCTTCCGGCCAGACGCTGTGTCAGCAATTTGGCCGGAGTGAACTTTCGGACGATCGGTCATTGCCGTCGCCCGGTTAACTTAGTTAACTTATTTATTCGTTGTCTTTTATTTATCGGCCAGTGCATCCTTTTCCGCTAAGTGTCGTTACATATATTATAAAGGAGAGAGCCACCGGCCGAATACCACACATACACACTCTCGCACTGATATCGCTGCCAGTTCTTTCGACTCTCTCTCTTTGCATTTTCGTTTCTGTCGTTGGACAAGTACAAGAGTTGTTGTTGTTTTTCGCAGCGTTTTCGGTATTCTGGCTAAGCTTGTGATATCCTTTAAAATTTATGCGTGCGGCGTATTAGTGCCGAAGAAATTAACAAATAAAATATTAATTTTATTTTGTTTTTTCGAAATTTTACTAGTCCCTTTCTTGCATACGTTCGGAATATACCACTCGTTTATTTTTTATTTTTTATATTATTCGTTACCTCTTTCGAATTAAAATAAATTTTTTTAAACTCTTCGATTCTTAAACAATTTTAATAAGCAATAACATGACGAGCAAAGATAATGAAGAGCTTAGACAATAAGAATAAGAGAATAAACGAGATGGAATAATGCGGAGTATATCCCGAACACAGCAGTGTTTACAAGAGGGTCGACTATCTCTAAATCTTGTCGAATTAGAATGTCGATTAGAAATTTTAAATTCGCATATTGAAAATTCTTCTTTGATTCAGAATCAAATCGAAGCAAAAGACGCAGAGTTAGGCGGATGAGCGCCGATGATGCTGCTCCGCCGGTGAAGCGCACTTCCCAATGCCGTTTGCCGAGCGTTGCTCTTCCAACCATCAGCGGAAGCACTCCGAATTTAAAAATATTATAATCCTTTTCGAAACATTTGTCGACAAACTCTGCACAATATTGAAAAATTTAATCATTTGATATCGTGTCTGGCTGGCGACGCTTTAGGCACAGTCAGGACGTTCCAAGTCACTGCGGCTAATTACCCCACAGCCCTGGCTAGCCTGAAGCAAGTGTACGATAATGATTGTCTGATTTTCTTCGACAATATATCGACACTTTTCAATCTGCCAAAAATGTCCCAGCCATCAGCTACAGCCTTGAGAAACCTGATCGACACAGTCAGAGCTCTTTATAACAAATGCCATCCTCATCCATTGAGCAAAGTCGATGCAGGAACAAAGAGAAAGTGGGAAGAACAGAACAGCAAATCTTCTCACCACACATTGTTGCAAAGATACTCTGCTAATACAAAAAATGACTCTGGTTCACAAGTAAATTTTGTGACCGATGAGCTCGTTCAGAGACGACAAATTAAAAGAGGTTCGTGGGTATGAGTTTGCGGGGCATTGGTGAAACTATTGCTCAAGCAACAACAAAAAATACACGCAATAGTGAAGTCGTGAATAGGAAGCAGTCAGTTGTCGTCTGGTTTTTATGTTTTAAGAAATATTTCTGGTAATCATCCGGATCAAGCGGTGAACACCAGCGGGTGGAGGGTACCTGAAAATACTCTATTGGCAGATCCATTCTTCTTCAAGCCCCAAAAAATTGACATGCTTATCGGCGTAGATTTGTTTTGTGAAATTCTGTCAGTTGGCCATATAAAGCAGGGGCCTGAACTTCCCATTTTACAAAAAACTGTTCCGGGCTGAATAGTGTCAGGGAGATGTGCCTCGGAAAACAAAATAAAGACAGAAAATTCGGTACATCTCAGCTGTCAGGAAAAAGCCCTAGAGTCAATAGACACCACCCTGCAGAAATTTTGTCTGTGGAGGACTTGCCGCCTAAGGCTTAAGTCCATAACTCAAATCTGACCCAATAACTCTTGGTTCGTCGTATGAAGTTGCGAAACGTCGATTTTTGTCGCTTGAAAGGAGATTGTCAAAAGATCCTTCGTTAAAGAATATGTATCTGGATTTCATGGAAGAATATGTATCACTGGGCCACATATCCTCTCCAATGATAAAATTCCAGATGGCCCACACTATTTCACTCCGCACCAATGCGTGCAGCGGCCACAAAGCACTTCATCCAAGTTGAGAGTGGTATTCGATGCCTCAAGCCGCACATCGACACAGGTTGT